TTGCTAATGTTGCTAATGCTGGTAACACTGCTAATTTTGCTAATGCTGCTAATGTTGCTAATGCTGCCAACACTGTTAATGTTGTTAATGCTGCTAACTCTGCTGATGCTGCTAACGTTGCTAATGCTGCCAACACTGCTAATGGTGCTAATGTTGCTAATGTTGCCATCACTGCTAATGTTGCTAACACTGCTAATGTTGCTAATGCTGCCAACACTGCTAATGTTGCTAATGCTGCCAACATTGCTAATGTTGCTAATGCTGCCAACACTGTTAATGTTGTTAATGGTGCTAATGCTGTCATCACTGCTAATGTTGCTAACACCGCTAATGTTGCTAATGCTGCTAACACTGCTAATGCTGCTGATGCTGCTAACACCGCTAATGTTGCTAATGCTGCTAACACTGCTAATGCTGCTAATGTCACTAATGCTGCCATCACTGCTAATGTTGCTAACACTGTTAATGTTGCTAATGCTACTAATGCTGCTAATAATGTTAATGCTGCTAACGCTGCTAATGTTGCTAATGCTGCTAATATTGCTAATGCTGCTAACGCTGCTAATGTTGCTAATGCTGCTGACGCTGCTGAAGATGGCATTTAAAATGTAAATTCAAAATGTAATCGTTGAAAACAGTATGGGTGGTACCTGTGGTCCTGAAGCCGGTTTGACGTCTTTCTTCTCGTTGTTTTCCTGAAAGGTTTCCATTCTGTCATCGTTCGAGAGCCGCCTGATGCAGCTGGAGAACTCCATCATCCCGGTCCACAAGCAGACGGAGAACCTGCAGCGTCTGCAGGAGAACGTGGACAAAACCCTGTCCTGCATGGACCACGTCATCAGCTACTACCACGTGGCCAAAGACACGGACCGGATCATCCGGGAGGGGTGAGGACCAGCTCTGGGTTCGGACGTTGAACTGGTTTTGCATGGTGACCCTCTTGTTCTTGTTCTCAGACCTGCAGGCAGACTGGACGAGTATCTCGCTTGTATCGCAAAGATTCAGAAAGCCGTGGAATATTTTCAGGACAACAACCCCGACAGTCCTGAGCTCAACACCGTGGTACGGTTCTGGTCTGCTGGTCGTTTGTGTGGATCTGGAACAGTCAGCTGATCGTGTTCTCTTTTTGAAATTTCCTGCAGAAAGCGCGTTTTGAGAAAGGCAAAGAGCTGCTGGAGGCCGAGTTTCGTAGCCTCCTGACCCGCTACAGTAAACCCGTCCCTCCCATCCTCATCCTGGACACCATCAGTGTGGACGAGGACATGGAGCTGCAGGAGGAGGTGGTTCTGGAACATCTGCCCGAAGCCGTGCTGCAGGACATCATCTGCATCTCTGGCTGGCTGGTGGAATACGGACGCAACCAAGGTACGACTGCCTGTGATTCTTACAGCCAAGCTGGGATGTAATTAATGCAAATCTCATAAACTCATATTTAATTCACAGTGGAGCCCAGAAAATATAACAAATGTTTCAAATAAGAAAACAAATGTTTCAACTAAGAAAACTAAAGTTTTCAACCAAGAAAACCAAAGTTTTCAACCAAGAAAACCAAAGTTTTCAACCAAGAAAACCAAAGTTTTCAACCAAGAAAACCAAAGTTT